CCCCAAAACCCCAAAACCCCAAAACCCCTTTAAGCTAATGTAAAGTTATTATTTGATAACAAATAATAAAATAAACTATAGCTATTAATGAAAGGAGTGTCTTAATAAGTAAAGTCTTCTTCAGGTAAAAAGCAAAACAAACAGAAAAAGCAACTACCATAAGCTAAAGACGTTGAATAGGATGAAAGATTCAATCAAGTGTTTACAGATCCAAGATTCATGAAAGTACCTCAGAAAATAAAGAAAGTGGAAATAGACGATAGATTCAAGAAGGGATTGACGAGTAAAGAGTTCAATACAGTAGCTAAAGTTGATAAATATGGTAATAGGGTTGACAAAATGGATAACACAATGCTTAAATTCTACAATATTGATAAAAAAGAATAGAAATAGAAACAAAAGTAGATTGAAAGTGAAGTGGAAAGTGAAGATGATGATGTCGATATGCAATCAGATGAGCACTCAGTAGAATAGGAAGCTAAAAGGTATTATGATGAAGAGGGAAAGTTTAAATGGAATGTTGAAGGCAGCAGTGATGATGAAGATGGAGAGGATGAAGATGAAGCTCAAAATTAGAATAAAGTCGATGAAGTCGATTCTGATAGCGATGAGAATGATATTGAAGGCCAAGATATGGTAGATGATAGTGATAATGACTCAGTTTGGTCAGTCAAGGATGAAGCTAAGGTAGCTGAATCAGAGGAATAAGTAGAAATTGGAAAAAGACTGGCTCTAACTAACATGGACTGGGATAATCTGACTGCAGTTGATATTCTATCTTTATTTACCTCACTTTGCAAAGGTGATATGTTCATTTAAAAAGTTGAAATCTATCCTAGTTTATTTGGTTTAGAGCAAATGAAAAAGGATTCTTTATATGGCCCACCAAAAGAGATTCTTGATGTGGCACCTCCTAAAAATTTTAAGAAAGGAAAAGTAATGGGTGAAGACGAGAATGAATTTTTAGATGATGATGAAAAAGCTGCAATGGGTTTTAACTCATCTTAGCTTAGAAAATATGAAATATAGAAGATGAAGTATTTTTATGCAGTTATTTACTGCTCATCGAAGAAAACTGCAAAGAAGTTGTTTGATGAATATAATGGTTTTGAATTCGAACAATCAAATTTAAGACTAAATCTGAGTTTTGTTGCTGATGATTTAAAATTCCCATAAAAATTAAAAGAAAAAGCCACTGAAGTACCAGCTGGATATCAATTCAGAGGAGCCAATACTTTGAGTAAAGCATTAAATCACACAAATGTTAAGATGACTTGGGATTAAGATGATCCAAAGAGACAATAAAAATTCCAGAAATTGATGGAGAGAGATGAGTCTGATATTGATGAAGATGAATTTAAAGAATTTTTAGCTAGTGGGTCAGAAGATGAAGCAGGAATGGAAGATTAAGATTAGGATAAGATCGAATAATATAGACAAAAGCTTCTCGGGGCTTTATCAGGTGCAAGTGGTGATATAAAGGATGTATTCAGGAAGAGAGATTTGTAAGATGATGATGAAAATGATGATTAGCAACTTGATATTAAATTCAACGTTGGTTTTGGAGAAGATGTTGGGAAAAAACTTTTACAAGACAAAAAGACAAGAAAAGAAGAATAAGGGGAAAGTGATTGGCAAAAATATTAGCGTAAAAGAAAAGAAAAGAGAAAGGAAAAGAAGGTCAATGCCAAAGAGAAATAGAAATAATCTAAAATAGAAATCTTTGAAGATGAAAATGATGAATAGGCTAAAAAGAGGAAGGCTTAATTAGAGTTAATAATTGGTACTAAAAATAATGGTATGGGTGAGTTCAAAGCTGATACCAAAGATAAAAGATTCAATGCAGTTCTAAAGGGTAAAGATTTTGCACTAGATCCTACACATAAAAACTTTAGAAAAGTCGCCGATGGTGAATTCATCAAGGAATAGAAAATAAAGAGAAGAAAGATGCATGATGATGAATGAAATTATCATGATATTTTGTGTATACTTTGCTGAAAAAGCAGAGCTTAATTAAATATTTATTAATTAGGGTTAAAATAATTAAGTAACATTAATAAGTAAGTATCTATTTAATTGACAAAGTTATAAGAGTTTGTTAGGGAGAAGTTTTTCTATGAAATACTAGTTGCTTCTATTATTTAGTTCCTCATATTTAATTATTTTGTCATTAGAATTATAGCTATTTATTTCTTTGACACTTCATTGATATCTCTCTCTGCCAATCTTCGAAACTTTACTTATGTTTATCTCTTATATTCATTAAATTCCTATCACTTACACTCCTATCCAACTCATCAAGGCTAGAGAACACCTATAGATAGATTAAAAACACTAATTATTCTTACTATTCGCTTCTTCATATTGTCTCGATCTTAATAGTCTATCATTAGGCTATGATTTAAATGCATATAAGGACATTAGGAGCAAGCAAACTCTTCAACCATCTATTCTTCTCTTCTTTTGAACTCAACAATACTTTTTATATCTGACTAAAATATTACTTCTTCTGGATAATGAGGACTCGTCAGAAGAGGTCCCATACTTGGTACATACAAGTTACTAATACTACCAGGTCCAGCTCTGGAAAAATTACCTTTGTGTATATCACCAAGGACACTACTTGTAGGATGAGCTATTTTATCATCGAAAGTTAATCCTGTTACTCCTGTTAAAGCATTTGTTCTGTTTCCAGATTTTGAAGTGGTTGGAGCACCTCCAATAGCAGTTTGAAATATCTTAGCCTTTAAAGATGGGATCATTGGAGGTTTATGTATTTGATTATTCTGATTAATCAGTTATTAAGCTGAGTGATGCTCATTTACACTTGAGTTGTATTAATCATTAATTTTTATTTTTGACTCATTAACTGTGATATTGCTGTTGTAAGGCCCATTGATGTTGTATATTGTTGATGCGATAGAATTGTTGTGAGCATTTATGATTGTAATCTTGGTGTTATCTTTAGTACTATTACTGTTATGTTTTTATTGTAAGTTTGACTATGAATAATCGGAGAATCCGTCTACACTTAGTTTTTTTTATTAATCCAACTAATAATTTCTATTCAATTATTGTTGTTGATTTATACTGTTCTATTAGCTGTTAAATTACAACCCAGGCTTTATAACACCTCCAGGGCTGCTGGTTTTGCCACGATTAAGTTTTTTATTGAAGCTAGATGGACTCTGATTTGATGCTCGAAGCATTTATTACTAATACAAGTCGATAGGGCTGCTTCCCTTTCTAACTTTCGATGCCATATTTTGGTATTTTTCTATAAAATAATAAGACCAAGCTCAGAAAGTGTTTTGATACCTAGAGATTGAGGCGTTCTTTGATTTGCAAGCATGATTTTTTACAACGACTACTTAGAAATTTACTATCCTGTCTTCATTCAATGCTTAATTAACTCTATAAGAGTACAGACTTCTTATTTAAAGAAATTATTTATTTTCTACTAATTTAAATTCCACTTAAACTTACAAGATTTTGTGGATGTGGGGTTTTGGGGTTTTGGGGTTTTGGGG